TGTTGCTCATGCTCTTGGTTATCTAAGAATCCACTGATAAAAACAGGTCTTGAAGCTTTCCTCATTTTCTATTTTTGTCCGATATAGCCATCCCAGCTCTCTTTAGGTTACTATTTGCATGGACTATTTTTTCCCACTCTTTTACTTTCAATCTATCTGTGTCTTTGGTTCTAAAGTAGGTCTGTTGTAGACAGCTTATAGTTGAATCGTGTTTTCTTACCCATTTTGCTAATCTCTGCCATTTGACTGGAGAGATTAATCCACTAACATTTGAAGTAATTACGAACAAGAAAGAACTGCTCTTTTGCAATTTGTTTTCTGTGTGTCTTATACTTTTTGAGACCCTCATTTCTTTTGATACTGCCTATTTTTGTGTTTAGTTGGTTTTTTTGTAGTGAGTTATTCTGATCCTCTTTTCACTTCTTTTTGTGTATGTTTTTCAGACATTTTCTTTGTGGTTACCATGAGAATTACTTTTAACATCCTGAATTTAAGCTATAACCTAGCTGAAATTGAAGGAGCCCCAGTAGCGCAATGGTTAAGTGCGCAGTTGCTAACCAAAAGGTCAGCAGTTTGAACTCACCAGCCGCTCCGCAAGAGAAAAGACCTGGCTATCTGCTCCCGTAAAGATTACAACCTAGGAAACACTATGGGCAGTTCTACTCTGTCCTATAGGGTCGCGACGAGTCAGAATCGACTTGACAGCAATACAACAACAAAGTTGAAACTGACAGTAACTAACTTAAAAACTTAACCAATTTAATAACATACAAAAATTGTTCCTATACTGCTACTCCCAAACCCCTTTATGTCACAATTACATCTTTCTACACTGTATGTCCAATAACATAATATTTTTTATACGTTTGTCCTTTAAAGCACATAGGACATGACAAGTAGAGTTACAAGTAAAAAATGCCATAAAACTGGCTTTTTCATGTGCTTGTTCGCCATTTTGTATATCTTCTTTGGAGAAATGTATATTCAAGTCCTATGTCGATTTCTATCCATGAAATTACCTTTACTGGAGATCTTTTGTCTTCATTCAGCTTCCAGTTACAGTCCAGTGTCCTTTTATTTCAATCTGAAGGACCCCTTTAGCATTTCTTGTAGGGAAGGTCTCATGGAATGAATTCCCTTAGTTTTTGTTTATCAGAGACTATCTTAATTTTACCCTCATTTTTGAAAGCAGTTTTTACATACACAGAATTATTGGCTGACAGTTCTTTTCCTTCCATACTTTAAATCTGTTACCCTTCTGACCTCCATAGTTTCTGAGGAAAAAACTGGCACTTATCATACAGAGGATCCCTTGTATGTGAAACTCGCTTCTCACTTTTTTCTTGGGTCTCTTTCATCTTTGAGAATCTGATTATGTCTTGGTGTGGGTATCTTTGGGTTTATCCTATTTGGAGGTTGTTGGGCTTTTTGGATGTGTCAATTCATGATTTTCATTAAATTCAAAAAGTTTTCAGCCATTATTTCTTCAAATATTCTTTCTCTCTTCTCTTTTTAGGACTCCCATAATGTGTATGTTGGTTCCTCAATGGTATCGCAGGAGTCCCTTACTCTGATCACTTTTCTTCATTCTTTTTTTCTTTTTACCCCTCAGACGCAATAATTTCAGTTGTCTGTTTTCAAGTTTACTGGTTCTCTCTTCTGCCAGCTCAAATTTACTGCTGAACTCCTCCAGTGAATTTCTCATTTCAGTCACTATACTTTCGAGCTGTAGTATTTGTTTGGTTCCTTCTTAAAATTTCTTCTTCTTTCCTGAAATTCTCCTTTTGTTCCTGTATCATTTTCCTGATATCCTACAGTTCTTTGTCTGTTTTCCTTTAGCTCTCCAAGCATATTTAACACTGTTGTTTTAAAGTCTTTGTCTAATAAGTCCATTATTTGGACTTCTACAAGGATGGTTTCTGTCACTTTATTTTGTTCATCTGAATGGGCCATTGTCTTACAATGCTGCTGTAACATAAAATTGGGTAGCTTTAATGAACAAAAATTCATTTTCTCACAGTTCTGGAAGTTGTGAAAGTCCAAATTAGCATCTCTGCCATGTTGATACCTTCTGTAGGTCTGTCACTGTTTCTGGTATTTACCAGCAATTCCTGATACTCCTTTGCTGGTAGACAGGTCCTCACATGGTATCTGCCTTTCCTCTGTGTGTGTGTGTGTCTGTGACTATTTTCTCTTTTTATAAGATACCACTCAGTGATTAGGTTTAGGACCCACCTTACTCCACTATGACTTCATTAACACAACAAAAGAAAACTTCTATTTCCAAACAAGGTCATATTTACAGGTACAGGGGTTGAAGCTTCCACATGTCTTTCGGGCACACAATTTAATCCATAACAGCCATCCTTTCTTGTTTCTTTTTATGCCTTATAATTTTTTTTGTTGATATTGGGACATTTGATTATTATAATGTAGTGACTCCAAAATCAGATTCTTCCCCCTTCTCCAAGGTTTGCCTTTTGTCCCCCCTCTGTAATTGTTAAAGGCTGTAGTCATCATCTGTTCAGTGACTTCCTCTATTTTTGCAATGACTGTCTTCCTGGATGTGTGAGGACACTGAAGTCTCTGTTTCTTAGCTCGTGTTCAGCTATTGTTTTGACAGAGATTTCCTTGAATGCAAGGAAGAAGCTAACAAAAAACAAACAAAAACTTCTCCCAGTGTTTCCAGATTGGCTGTGTGCTGGGACCCTCCTTCAACATTTAGCCAGGTTTGCATAAAGCCTAGGGATCAGTCGAAGGTGAAGGTGTAAGTTCTTCTCATGTAATTTCTGAGCACGTGTCTTGTCCTGGACTTGTGTGTGGCTTTCTCGATCCCCCTGTATACACAGTGCTTTTGAAAGCCTTAACCTCCAAAAGGAACTCTCTCCCCATCTTCTCTTTCCAGTGTTTAGGCACTTAACGTATGCCTTCATTGCACTTTTTAGCCCCAGGCGGCTACGATTACAGCCTTAAGTTATTGCCCCCTACCTCTCAGCCCTAGGATAGAGCTCTAAGACAGGCCAAATCAAGATGATCACCTTGCTTCAGTCCTGAGATAGCACCAAAAAGGTTAGAACAGACACACACACTAATTTGTGAATAAGGTCTGCTCTGTTCCATCCGGAGCCAGAGACCAGGCTCCCTCTCTACGAGTGAGAGCTCTTTTAAGATGGCCACACTGAGCCGAGGAGGGGGCTGGGCAAAGGAAAGTAGAAAATCAAAGATTTCTTACTGTTTACATGTCCCTGGTGGCACACTGGTTAAGGGCTCTGCTGCTAACCTAAACGTCAGCAGTTCAAATCCACCAGCCACTCCTTGGAAAGCCTATGGGGCAGTTCTCCTCTGTCTATAGGGTCACTATGAGTTGAAACTGGCTTGATGGCAACAGGCTTGTTTTTTTTTGTTGATGTTGTTTTTTCTTGATTCCATGTTTGCTTAGTTGCTGTAGCCCATAGCCCTTTGACTGGTTTCCAGGTTCTGACAAAGTTGATTCTGCCAGTTTCTGCTTATTTTTTGTTTATTTGTTTGGATTTGTTTATTTTTGTGAGGGTATGGGAGCATGCAATTGTTTATACCACCATCTTGCTCAAGACTCCTCTTATTATTTAATTTTGTTCCACAAATCATAAAAGTTCAAATAAAACGTCTATTTTTAAAAAATGCTAATTCAGACTGGCCTTTGACTTAATCAACCATGCCAGGTCATTGACCATATATGCAAAAACCATCAGCCACATACAAAACCAAAGCAAGATTTTTTTTTCTTTACAGAAATATAAAATATTAACTTAATTGTTTTTAAAATTAAGATGAGGCACATACGAATTTGTAATGGAAGTTAAACATATTTTGTGTGTTTATATAATAGGCTGGATATGTGTCAGGAAGGAAGCAGAAATACATTTTTTGAAAACTTTGCTAGGTAAATGAGCGCAAAATAAAAGGGACTCAGAAAAAAGTGGAAACGATCAAATGACAGGAAAATAAAAGATCCTATTAAAAAGTCATTGACCTAATACAGGAAGAGGAAAAACATGAAACAGAAGACATGGGAGGAGAAGAAAAAATACAGAGGAATAGAGATGTTTTTATATTTTGTGTCAGTGTTTTTAAATTTTTTTAAACTGATCTTCAATTTACATTCAATAAAATTCACCAATTTTAAAAGCACAGCTTGATGAGTTTTGACAAATGTATGTAGTTGTGCAGCCACTATCATAATCAAGATAAAGGAAGTTTTCAATACTCCAGAAAGTTCTCTTGCGTTCCTTTAAGGTCAATCCTCTCTCCCTATGCCTAGGCAAACATGGATCCTGATCTGTTTTCTAATCCTGTTGTTTTGACTTTTGTAGATTATATAAAGGGAATCATCTTATAGTAGTTTTGTGTCTGGTTTGTTTCACTCAGCATAATGTTGTTTCATGTATCAGGAGTTACTCCTTTTTCTTACTAAGTAGTATTCCATTGTATAATCCAAACACCAAACCCACTGCCGTTGAGTCAATTCTGACTCATAGTGACCCTACAGGACAGAGTAGAACTACCCCATAGGGTTCTGAAGGAGCGCCTGGTGGATTCAAACTGCCGACCTTTAGGGTTAGCAGCCAAACTCTTAATCACTACGCCACCAGGGCTTCCATTCCGTTGTATAGGTACACCATAATTTATTTATCCACTCACTAGTTGATGTTCATTTGGATATTTTCCAGTTGAGAGCTATTATGCTGGTATGAATATTCACATACTAATCTTTGTGTGGACATATGGTTTCATTTTTGGAGGTTAAATACCTTGAGGTGGAATTACTGGGTCGTATGATGACAGTATGTTTCAGAGTCCTGGTGACGCACTGGTTAAGAGCTCGGCTACTAACTGAAAGGTTGGCAGTTCGAATCCATCAGCTGCTCCTTGGAAACCCTATGGGGCAGTTATGAGTTGGAATCGACTATGAGTTGAAATCAACTCAACGGCAACAGGCTTGGTTTTTTTTTTTTGGTTTATGATGACAGTATGTTTAGCTTTGTAAGAAAGAATTATTTTTAAATGAATCTAAAATTAATTCACCTTCATTTATTCTTACTTGAACTTTTAAAATCAAATCTCCTTTGCATTTTTAGTAGATTTTGCTCCATATAGTCTATTATGTTTGATATAAGGACCCCTTGTGGCACAATGCTTAAGTGCTCGGCTGCTAACCAAAAGGTTGGCAGTTAAAACCCACCAGCCACTCCCTGGAAATCCTATGAGGCAGTTCTACCCTGTCCTATAGGGTTGCTATGGGTCAGAATCTACTCGATGGCACACAACATGTTTGATACATAGAAATGGTAACTATTATGCTACACAGTCTTTTATCATGATGTAATATTCCTTATTTATCCTATTTAGTGTTTTTAAACTCTACCTTGTCTAATGTTAATATTGCCGGCTCTGCCTTCTTTACATTTTTTAGGTATCTCTTTGGGCTTATCCCTTTATTTTCAACATTTATTACTTTACTATTTTGTTCTTTTTTTTTTTTTCTTTAAACATAGCTGGGTTTATTTTTAACTGTTTTTCAGGTTAACAGTAGCATGCATCTTTTAATGAGAAAACAGATTCTGTACATTATTTTGATGGTTTAATCAAGTTGATTTCCTGTACCACTAATAGTTATCTTCCCTTCATCTGTGTTCTAATCAGACACGTTTCTCTATTACTTGAAAACAAGATCCCACTATTTCCTCTACAAGGCCCCGTTTCCTCTACCACAGCGCTCTATTCTCTTTCCACTACAACTTCCTTCTACCTCAGAAAGATGAGACTATCAGAGTACTTTATCTTCCTTTCTCTTACCCTACCTCTTCCCTTTTCTCAAGGTCACCTTAGTAGCCTTTGTCTGAAGCTTTCCACCTCCAAATCTTAGGTTTTGCTGAGATGTTTAATTTTTTAATTTGATGTTGTCATTTAAATTTTCCTTGAGTCTACTATCTTTATATAACACATTAAGGACATGTTTTCAGTCAACAGTGAATTCCACTATTCATTTAAATTTAATATACACAGTGAATTCATTGTTCTTTACTGTTGTTCTCTTCTTCATCTCCCTGTTTTGAGGTCTTTGTTTCACTAATTATTCTAATTCATTTATTGCTTGTTAAAATCCTTTCCTAATTGTTTTCTTTGAATATTTGGGTGATGTACTCTTTAAGTCCTTGTATATCCACAAATGAGGGAGTACCTCTTTGGTAGGTAGCAGACAGATACACGCTCAACTTTCAGCCAGGCATTCAAAAGCAGAATCAATGTGCTTGACAGTAATTTTCTTTTCTTTGAGATTTTAACACTGGAAGACACCCAACATGTGGAAGGCTTAGACATAACCATAAAAAAGTAGAATTTCTGGGTTGAAAAAATATAGTTCAAAACGTTTGGAAATAGTGAACGTGCTTGACTTTGGTACAAAAAACAAAACCTTTTGAGTTCATTCAAACATGGTGCACAGTTCAGATTTGTTACATATGATATTCCCTTTCCAGAATTCACTGTGTTGTAAATTGGTGAATGCATCTTTGCCTAAAATTGTTAATGTTAAGATATTACTTTTTACATCCTGTTTATTTACTGTTTTTTTTTTCTTGGGGTCGGGGAGGAGGAAGGGGATCATTATGCCAAAAGTTGTAAATACTGTCTAAAAAAAGTGAAATAACGTTTTAAGCAATGTTGAAAAGTCAGTAAGTCATTAATTCAAGAGTTGCTACGATGTAAATTTACATCATCTTTTATCTTGTCAGATGAATGACATCTCGGCTAGGTACACGCTTCGTGGAATGCAGTCCTATCCTCAGGAGTTTGTGAATGTTATTTCACAGTCTCCCTGCAGAGGTGATGTCCAGTATCAGTATGATTCTTTTCCTTGATAAATAACTTAGATTTTCTGCCTACAAACTTATAAGGATTCATAACCCTTCAACTATGCTAAAATTTATATTTCAGGTTTGTTGAATGAATGTGTCCAGAATTATTCAGTGTTGGAAGTGAACAGTGAAAGTAGTTTTTCCCAGACGTCCCTCAATTAAATTTAGCTCTGTGAGATGACACAGAGGAAAGCTCTGGCACCAAAAAAGCCATCCTACAGAACTATTTATGAAAGTCAAACCATTTTAAGTATGTATATGCGTGTGTTTTAAACATTTAGGACATGCAGTGTTATACAGTGGTTACAAGCACAGGCTCTGAAGGTGGACTTCCGGGGATTCAATGGGGATGTTATGAGAACTAAAGAGTTAATATATGGAAAACAATTGGAATGCTCATAAATGTTAATGACTGCTGTTGCAGTCGTTATTATTACTATTATTAGCAGTAGTATTACAAACTTTACAAAGTGAATCATTCCTATGAGAGATAAAAGCTAAATGACATAGCTATCACCCAATTCAGGGGTATACACACATATAAATTATATACTTAAGACATAAAAATGCCAGAAAAAAGTGATGCTTGTTCAGCAAGCTCTTCACTTAAAAAGAAAGTAACAGACTGGAGATTCAGTGAGTCTGACACTCAAAAGTAACATACTTTAGGACTGGAGTTCCAGAACTAGGGGAAAAAAACAGAAAACAGAGAGGATCATTGAAAAATTGCTGATAGAAAACTTCCCTAATATCATGAAAGATGAAAAGCTGACCATCCAATAAGCTCAATGAACCCGTTATAGCATAGATCCCAAAAGAAAATCACCAAGGAATATCATAATCACACTTGCTAAAAACGAAGACAAAGAAAAGAATCCTGAGAATACCTCGAGAAAAATGAAAAGTGACATACAGAGGGGAAACAAGAAGACTAATCTCTGATTACCTGGCAGACACCGAGCAGGCAAGAAGGCAATGGGAGGACTTATATAAAACCCAGAAAGAAAAAAATTGCCAACCAAGAATATATCCTGTAAAACACCACAAAATATCATAGTGAAATCAGGACATTTCCAGAAAAACAGAAGTTAAGGGAATATGTAAAAACCAAACCAAACTTACAAGAATTATTAAAGGGTAGAGAACGATGAAAAGGAAACCAGAAAAACAATACCATTTATAATAGCCCCTAAAAAAATAAAATACTTAGGAATAAATCTAACCTGGGATGTAAAACACCTATACAAAGAAAACTACAAAACACTACTGCAAGAAAACCAAAGGGATCTACATAAACAGAAAAACATACCATGCTCATGGATAGGTAGACTCAACATTGTGAAAATGACAATTCTACCCAAAGCAATTTACAAATACAACGCAATCGCAAACCTATCCAAATACCAACAACATTCTCCAAAGAGATGGAAAAACTAATCATTAACTTTATATGGAAAGGGAAGAAGCCCCGAATAAGTAAAGTACCGCTGAAGAAGAAGAATAAAGTTGGAGGACTCACACTACCTGACCTCAGGACCTACTATACAGCTACGGAAGTCAAAACAGCCTAGTACTGGTACAATGACAGACACACTGACCAATGGAATAGAATTGAGAACCCGGATGTAAATCCATCCAACTATAGTCACCTGATCTTCGACAAGGGCCCAAAGTCCATCAAATGGGGTAAAGACAGTCTTTTTAACAACCAGTGCTGGCAAAATTGGATATCCATCTGCAAAAAATGAAACAGGACCCATACCTCACACCACATACAAAAACTAATTCAGAATGGATCAAAGACCTACATATAAAGCCAAAAACTATAAAGCTCAAAGAAGAAAAAATAGGTCCAATGCTACAGGTCCTAATACACGGTATTAACAGGATACAAACCATAACCATCAACACACAAACCCCATTCTAGATAAATGGGATCTTCTAAAAATCAAACACCTATGCTCTTCAAAAGACTTCACCAAAAGAGTAAAAAGAGAACCTACAGACTGGGAAAAAATTTTTC